GTGTGTGTGTGTGTGTGTGTGTGTGTGTGTGTGTGTGTGTGTGTGTGTGCATCTTATCGAATGATCGTATATCTGTTTTGCGTTAGAATTTTCGAGATGTTTTGATGCGATTCGATTCTAAGTCAAGGACAAACATTATCATTGAACAGACTGGATGGACAGGGCCGGAGAGCATTTCTTATATTGTAAAAAATATATAACAAGGTTTAATTTTGGTAAAGTTTTTTATAATGGAAATTTGTACTCAGTCATCTTTCAACTACACATTACAAATATACATCCCTAAGAGATTTCGATACGACTGTAATACGATAATAATTTTACTTTGCGGACTCCGTTCCCATATAGGATGTATTTCTAATGAAAACATAATGTGGCAAAAGAAGGTATAATTTTTGTGATATTTTTATTATTTTTTTTTTTTTTGAAGAAAATTATTAAGGACTTTGCATTATTTAGTGTGGTGTGGTGCATGTAGGGCATCCGATGATCGGTTTTGCTCAAACCCACACAATAAGATTTGAACTTAAGTGAGAACGAATGATAAAATAGCAAAAACTGGTTCATTAAGTATAAGAAGATATTACACGAGACATAAAAATAAAAAATATTAATAAATATATATACTATTTATAATAAATAAGAGATTTTTCGTGATTCGAGAAAAATATATTATTTTGCTTGCTCTTTACTTACCGATGCTTCTTTGGGCTTTTGTCGTATACTGGACTTTCCGTCAATCACAATATTTGCATTAACAAATTCAACATCACATGGTGACGGTGGACACATGGTAAAATCATCATAATCCATATCAGTTGATGTCTCCACTGAGAGATCACCCAACATAACAAAACCCGACTCGTTTGGCTAAAAATCACACAATTAAAAAATGTGCGTGGAAAAAGTTAAAATTTAAATAATAATAATTAATTAATTAAATTGAAATTAAGAGGAACAAGGTCTTGCGCAACATAAAACGCTTGAATCAAATAAATTAATATGTTGTCGCAGTAAAGCAGTTGACTTTAATTAAAATTGTTAAGGAGGAATTGAGAATTGACATCATCCACGAATGACATAAACATGAAATGGATGTGATATGAAAAACGACAAGAAGCGAATTTTACGCTCACTAACACTTACACTCTTTTGCACTTTCCCTCCGCCCATTTAAGAACGAAAACCAAGTAATGAAATTTCAGTTCTCCGATCCTTGCTTGCATATAGCAAACAACGAAGAGAAAAGCTGTGACCGAATCTAATTGATTTACTCTGTACATATTAGTTCATGCAATTTAACTCTTTGCGATCGATACCGCTATAAAGGCGACATTTGCAAGGCTGACGTCGCCACTATGCCGATGTCATTGACGATCATATGCAATGCAACGCTTTCCGTTATTTATACTTGAACAAGTACGAATATCATAGTCGGGCAAGGCCGACCGCTAAATACCCTATAGATCACAAAAATTGTATCTTGTATAAAGCAAAAGAAAGTCACACAGAAGAAGATGGGACTTTAATCAATGTTAGTAAACCGATATGGATAAAGGAAACCCAGCGAAGTTTCTGAAGATGAACACAAAGACTTTTACAAGACTTTGACGAAAGACTCTAAAGGACCTTTGAGTGGTTCGCATTTTATTGCCGAAGGTGAAGTCACCTTTAACAGTTTATTATATATCCCAACGGTTCAGCCTTCCGAATCGTTCAATCGTTAAGGCACACACTCCGATAATATTATTCGTGAGTCGTGTCTTCAACACTGACAAATTTAACGATGCGATGCCATATTTTCTGATTTTAAGTCATGGCATTGCGGCTTGTGGATGTATAGGTGCATTCAAGATTTGAAACTGGCCAAGAATTTGTATGCTTTAGGGGCTTTTTGAAGATTGTTTCTGCGCGTTATAAAGATATTGAAAAAAAAAAATTAAATTTTAATATACTATAATATTGCGTAGGCGTAGTGAATTTTTTCCATTTTTGTGCACAAATGCTACAGCAGCGTCCAGAGAATACGCGTTTGTAGATTTATCTGCTGCCACTCATCAGTAATGAGTAAAAAATCAATTTTTTATTCCCTTTGAAAAATAGAGGTGTTCTCAGTTGACGTGGTGCTGTCGGCGTGTCCTTCGACCGATTTAACCCATTTTCAATACTCATCTGCTTGTAAAAGCTTCCAATGTTTCTGACAATTTTGAAGCCGCTAGTTTTATTTTTTCGCGGCCAGGCGAATGTTTACAACAGACATTGTACAAACGGACAGACGGACACGCTTAAATCGATTTAGAATTTGATATTGATTAACAAAATATATATATATATATATACTTTCTGCTTCCTTCTGGGCGTTGCAAACGTTTTAACAAAATGAATATACCAGCCCTCATTCATCGGTGATGGGTATACCATAATATACGATATAATAAAGTGTTGCTCGTTGTAAGGTAATTTTACTCTTGTGTGTACGTGGTAAGTGTTTGCTTTTTTTTGGCACCGTTCCCTCCGCAGTACTAATGCCTGCATGTATTTTGATCAGCGACATATAGCAAAGTAGACAATGTATAAAGTAACAGTTTTCCAATTAGTATTGTTCAGTTGGCGAATGTATACAGACACTAATTATGGAACGTATTTATGATTGGCGGTGAAAAGTGAGTCCACATACGGTAATTTCAAGCGCAAAAAGTCATGGATTAGTCCAAGCAGCAGCAAGATGTAGTGTGTTGCGAGCTGCTAAACCCCAAGTGAAACTGTTACTGGAGATGTCCACCGGCGTCAGTTGAACGAATTGAACGATGTATTGTTGCAAAAGAGACGAGCAATAGTGTTTAACAAACGCAGAATCATCCTCCTGCATGACAACGCTCGAGCTCAACCACACCTTGCAAAAGAGCTCAAGGATATGCTGTTGCAGTTCGCAGGGGAAGTTGATCGCACCCAGCGTAGTCAGCAGATATAGCTCCGTTTAATTACCACTTGGTCGGTGCGGCTTGGGTGGCACGCGGTTTAGAAATGCTAACGAAATGCAAGAATGGGTCGTTGATTGGATCGCTGCCAAACCAATATTGTTCTTTCGATACGGTATTGTCATATTGCCAGAATGTTGGTAGAAAATTGCAGAAAAAAAATATTTTCCAAGTAAAAAATTGATCAAAATACATACAAGCAAGCAACTAACACGTTTGGATAAAAAAGAAATGGAATATTAGGCGACCGTAATTACATCGGTTTGAAATAGTTTTTTCCTGCATACCTTGGGTAACCACATCTCTATTTTCAGACTTTTTAAGGGAGCCATAAAATCATGGATAAGACAACTTTGTATTCACCTCGTCTTAATTATACAAAGTTATTACTATTCTAACATATGTATGTACCTTCTTTCCTACTGCCTTTAATGCGTGAGCTATAAAGAGAATTGTGATTTGCTTAAGCATATTCAAACGGTATGATATATGCTGAAGACAATTATTATTATTATTGTTAGATTTTATTGCGTTAAGATGACAAACAACCAGCCAGGAACCATGATCTTTGCGTGTGTGGATACAACTTATATGATAATTGAGAAACGCTCGCAAAGTTCATTTTGGTAACGATGTGGTAAACGGGGCTGAAAAACACAATAATCGACGCTTGCTTCTTCAACTAAATCAGGTAGGTCGGTATTGTATGTAAAAAAAGTAAATTTTCGTAGGTTTCATAATAACTAAATAATAAACTGCTTTTTACAGAGAATTTCGGATGAAAAAGTAGATTAAAAATAATTGTTGTAAAGCTATATAAATATTCGGTCTAATTTCGTTTGAATCATCAAATCAAACACCACAAGAGATTTATATCATAGAACGTGACATGCGCACACGTTCAATGCCCGGCCATTTACATTTAACATCAAATATGTCGTCTAAGCAAAGACACAAACCGCACCGCGGGATTAAAAGAAGAGCAACTATTCGGCGAATTCGGCGATACTGGCGTCATAACTATATCATAGGAAATAAATCGCAGACTGAAACTCACGACGATAACATTTATAAAAAAAATGTTGTTTATTTCCAGAGGCTGCTAACTCAAGAGCTATATATATAAGAAGAATATGAAGCATTGCCACATAGCCGTCTGTATGGAACGTTAGTTGTCGCTGCAGGTCGATTGCGTCGTTGAGGTAAATGCCAAAATTATCGCTACAAAGTCAACATGAAGAAATAATAATATGCAGAGAAAGAAAGCGGTCAACTATAGAAATGGCGAACATGTCAGCGATATGCTATCAGCGTCAATAATGATAGTAAGAGTAAACGGAGGTATCTCCCTTTAATTAGTAATCTTTACAGGCCATTGGATTTATTCTAAAATGCAGGGAACAAAAAATTAATTTGAATACTTCTCTTAAGTGCTTAGTGATTTGATTCAACACCGTAAACATTTGAGTGTCATTTTTCATTTATCTCACCAATGCATTTGCGTACCCTGCAACATTTCTTTACGTGCACTGGTTTAAACTAAATTTACCAAATAGAATTTTCTTCTTAAAGATACTATTGTGTTATTGTTATTATTATTATAAATTTAACCAGAGAATAAATTCTAAGACCATAGTCCTAAAGCACTAGCTAGCATCTAAGGCTTTTCGCTTTTATTAAAAACTCGACCGCACTTGAGATTTGAGCCCACGATCGTTGAGTCATATACGACCGGATCCACTATATCAAATTTCATCAACCTGTAGATTGAACCAAAAAACATGGGGACAGAGATTAGACTGATAGACATGCTTAAATTTATTCAGAAAGTGATGTTAAATCCACTCGGAATTAAATATAAAGTGGTTCGTTCTTCTGGATATTCCATATATCGGCATAAACTCAAAATGGGGCAAAGTATAATCATGTTTACCAAATAATATCGACTGCGTGGATTAATTATTCCATTGCCTGGAAACTTATACATACATCGATACTATTAATTTGACAGTGCAATTAATTGTAATAAATCAAGAGACTCCACACGTCTATTTTTTTGGTCCCATGAAAAGTACAGTTTCACAGAGATACCAACTGAACAGGTATAGAATATTTAATTTTGTACACGTGTTCTTTTGGGATACGGACAGACGGACGCGCAGATGGACTTAACTAATTGTTGAAATAAAAAAATAGGTAAAATACTCGCTCGTTATGAGGTATTTAACGCCGTATGGCTGGCTACAAGTCGCCTAAAAGCGTCATAGGTCTAATCAGTACTGGAACATTCAATTGTTTCTTGTCGAAACAATTTAGAAATGACCGAGTTTACGTTGACTGCACAAGAATGCAAAGTGTGAGAGAAAACTTCATATAATTTGCGAACATTTTTAAAACGCTCTGCGTTTCATAATTAAACGTTATTAGACGACCATAAGAAACCGGAGTGCATAAGTCACGACATAACCTCAAAGAGAGGGAAGGAAAATATTAAAGCTAACTGCATTGCACATACGAATTGTATAGGTATATATATAAATATATATATATATATATATATATGTATAAGACATTTTAAACATCAAGGCAAGTGTAGAGAAGCAGATTGATTCATTTAAGTGAAAGGTAAGTACTGTAAATAAATAAATTTATAAATTATAACACACACGTTTTACTTCATAATAATAATAATAATAATTATTACTACACATAAGACGGAGATGTGCATGCATACCGAGGCCTTAACCAATAAATGGACTTTAGCAGCAGCAACATATGTAATAAAGTATGAATAAAGCCTAAATATGCTACGACAGTAGTGTATGGTACCTCCTATGCAGCCATAAAACTGTTTTCACGCGATAGCACGTTCTCAATACAATAATACATGAA